CTGTACTTCCTTAGCAGAAGGGGGTACAGGGGTCGGTGTTACGCAGTCGTTTAAGCTTACATGAGCAATATTATTTGTACATTAAAGCAGACGATGTGAGGTACTAATTTGTCCATGAGTTTCCTAATATTTTACAAAAGTGCTCTTTGATAGACACATATCAAATTTGAGTTGCCTTTGAGATGCCTTTGTAAATCTGCCTCTATACACATATCACATATATTAAAAAAATTCAAGGCGATTTCTCACATGCCCTTAAAAAATAGCCTTGCCCTTCTCGTCGCTTATTCAAGCCCTCGATGTGTGTGTGTTTATAGATGACACTGTGATGTGTGTGTGTGTGTGTCCAGCAAAATACCAGCGCGGCGCAATCGATGTAGCGCGTGACCGTCAGAGCCGAGGCGCGAGTCAAGCAGCAGGCGAGTGACGTCAGCAGCAACCACCAATGCCAGGGTTTCTCCCTACGTTGCGCAAACGCGGGCGCGGCGCCGGCCCCGTTTGGGATAACTCCCCCCTGCTTTCAATGGTTGCGCCCCGTTTAAAATACCTCCGCCCGATAAATCTCCACCACAATGAAAAGTTTTGCAGCGCCATAAGGCGGAATCGATCGTCAGAAGTACCAATTTGACCAGATACCCGGCACGGTGTATTATTTACAGTACACGCATGCACTGCAGACATACAACAGTCAACCTGTCCACACCCAACACTAACGTACACCGACTCGGCCTATATCTTATGTATTACAAGAACCCCAAAGGACCGTCGTATGTGGGTGGAGATTTACGCAATGTATATTAGTGTACGGTAAAAAACACGCCCCCCACCTATTTCATCCCCCCTTCCCCCTTCCCCTCCCTCCCACAGTGTTGAATATATACAAATCCTGGGCAGAACCTGCAAAATTGAGCGGCGAGTCAGCAGCCGCCCACCAGCGAGCCGAGACAGAGTACGCAAGTCAGCAGCAGACATGCAGCGAGCGGTGAGCCAGCTCGTAAACACTTACATGTTACATGCTCGCGGAGGTTATGCACTCAATCATAGATAGAGTGCCCTCTGTCTAGTTACCATATTTTCAGCTAAATATCCAAAGCAAAATTGGCGCAGACGTGCAACCGCCGATGAATCTATAATAAGACAATACATATTATGCTTAATATTTTAAATTTAAACCTCAGACTGCGGACTCCCTCATTTTTGCTGCGGACTCCCATAATTTTATAAAGGAATAGAGGAGTCCATTGGACTCCCGATGTATCAAAAGTTAATTTCGTACCCCCGTCTCAGTGTCTTAGGCACTTTCATAGCTATTGAATGTAAAGTAAGCAGACTGCAGTAGCCCACGTCGATGAAAAAATGCAGGTTTAATTTCAAATCCCTTGATGTGGGACGTGTGAGCACAATGACAACGACTCTACTGAATAAAAGAATAAATAAGACAATTGATAACAGTCATCAGGAGTTGCACCAAAACCTTGTCGTAAATGGAAGATAGTCTGTAAGCACAGTCACAGAGAACATGCTGCAAGTCAAGGTTGCCACCTGCTAAACCACGTTTTCGTGTTTTAATAATTTCAGTTGATATGTCTTGCATCATCAATGGCTCGTCAAAAAACACTGCGGGGTGCAACCCAATCTGCGTTTGTTATTGACATAGAGAAAATATATATAGAGATAGAATGTGACAGAGAGAATAATAATAGAGGCAATGACCCATCATCGTACACTGCCATTACGAACATTCGTTGAAACGAGCACTGACATATATAGCATAATAATACATAACATAATAAGATAATCACCAAAATGCTGATTGCAGCTTCAGCACTGAAGTCAGCCAGATGTGCAATAGGCTAGAAGAGATATATATGACAGATACCAGCAGAATGGACCTGATAAACACTCATGTACCTTATTGCAGCATAGACCTTTCCGATTCCATCAGTAGCTCCTTAACCAACTGTAAAATTATAAATAGAATACAACAAGCATTTAAACTACAGAAACCTCTTTTATTTCATACGTTATACACAGTGGGTAGAAAATTTAACTTTTGAACAAGGAGTCAACGAACGCCCTACCCTCAAAAAGAGGGAGTCCGTCAGGCCAAAATGTGGGATTGTCACGCAGGCTGAGGTTCAAATAAAGATCATTAACAATAACGCATGTGAATATATATATAGATATAATCAGTTGCACGTCTGCCCAAATTTCTTTGGAAATTACGCTGAAAAAATACAGTAATTCAGACAAACAAAAGAGGCGTGCTCCGCGAAACGAACTAGTTAGTATGGCAGAACTTTTCAGAGAGGGGCACCGAGAACTCCTGCATATGTCAAATCAAGAGGAGTCACAAATAGAATATCAGAGAGATAATTTGAATACGGACTCCCATTAAATTTCGCACCCTGTATTACTAGTCCGAATTCCTCTGAGCTAAACCATCACCCAAAACCCCAAAATCGTCGAAAGGTAAAGTGGGCCATTTGGTCAGAGGAATCTCGCGGAATATATATAGACAGACATATACAATAATGAAAAATTTCATTAAACGTTGCTGTACATATTTCTGGTTCATTGGGGAGAATGATTCCTAGATGTGTTTTAACTGAATAAGCCATGCTCGCCAGCGTAGAATATATCAATATTAAATTTTAACACGACCTAAAAGTCAGTCATATGGACCAGCTTCAATTGAATTATGCAAGAATAAAGAGAACCATAACTCACAAAATACGGTACAACACCTTAAAGCCGCCCACAATGCGCATCCAAACGCTAATTGTCTTCAGATACAAATAGACTAGCAACATACTTCGTGTCATTGCATTAATCATACTACTTATGCAAATAACTCTCGTTCCTCCCATTTCACTGCACGCGTTGTCTATAATAAAAGGTATTGTGAAAATACTCTCCGATGCTGTGCAAAAAAAAAAAACCCAAAAAAAAAAAAGTTCCCCTCAATTCTGCCAAGCCAACCGGTGAAACAAGCCGTGCACAGACAAGCGAAATACAGCGGTACGGTCGCGCGAGCAAGAATAAACAAAAATAGAAATCACGATAACACACATATACTATGATATATAAGATATATAGAACATATAGAGCATAAAAGATATAAATAGGACAGACAAATATATATAAAACACATAGATATCACACACATATATATAAAAACATTATATATAAGAAAGACAACAGAACAAGATACATAGAAAGGAACTAGATATATATATGCATTAAGGTAGTATGATTATGCTTGACACGGAAGTATTTGCATAGTCTAGTACTGAAGCAAGATTAGCGTTGGAAAAATGCGCGATTGTGCGCGCTTTAATATCAAACTTTGACAACCTTATATACATACACACACACATACAATTCCTACACATGGACCACTGGACATGGAATCAGCACTTCACGCACAGCATTAAAACTTACAAAATATATTCAGGGTCAGAAATACCAGCGATGGTCCGATGGTCCGGGACCAAAACAAATAAATACAGCCAAGACAACAATCAAGAATATTCAAGTCCAATGGTCAATGACCATTGAATATTTGGGGTTCCCATTTTACCGTAAATCTTACTAATATAAGAAGTTTCACGCTTCCAAATATACTATTAAAGTGAATAAACAATTTACTGTATCAGATATAGTTAACATTCATTGTTACGTAGCGTGATATACACATATATATACATAGATATATATATATTCTTACACATATACAGACATATATACATATATACAAGAGAACAATTTGAAATTTAGGAGGACCATACATATTATACACACAACAATAAGATAATACACAGAATAGACACAGAGAGCACAAATTATAACAAGGAGAGGAAGCGCCTGCCATATCTGGCCAATATTTGCCATATTTGCCCGTCATTATTGCGTCCAGAAAGATTAGTAGTTACTAATATATACTGGGGGCGACGACATATACACATATATACACATATATATGCGTCCATAGATGGGTCCTTGAGCGAAAAGCACACACACATACAGACTCCTATCTTGTATATTATAGACTACATATAGACATAGAATAGTACCATCTCTTTTTTTCTCCTCATTTCGGCTACCCCTGTATTTTATTTTTATTATTTTTATTTTTATTACTAATTAGAATTAATCATCATATGAGCCATGCACGCATTTACACTCGAATTTTTTTTGCACTTGCATTATGCGAGTGGCGTGGCGGGGAGGTTATACATACGTAAAGCGTAATGTGTGCATACAATCACACATCACATCTATGGACTATAGCCTATAGGGAAGACCCTTCGTGCGTCCGACGTCTCGCACGGTCTTCTCGCCACGTAGTGAAAAGCGAGAAGGTAACTTGTGCCGGTGCCTATGGCTACCAAGCAAGTTGCTACTCGCCTTGCTATAGCCCGCGCACGCCTGCGGCAACTGTACGCGGGCTATAGTACTAGTACTACTAGAGCAACTACTCGCCTAATTATAGTTACAGTGAGACACACAGTATATATTTTGTATATGACGAACATATTCTTCCACAAAGCAAACTAGGAACAGGAATAGGTCAATGTAATTTAAGTACAACGTAAACAACGGTACAAATCAAGGCCCAAGGATAGAGAAACAATGACGGCAACGTCCTCAATAAAACCAATGTGCATAACCTACCCTAACCCTAACCTAACAATAAGCGCCTACAACCTAAACCTATTATATTGATATAATAATTAAATATTTATATTGATCGTGTAAATGACATTGCGTCTTATTAGGCGAAAACATATTCTTTCATTGAACCCAAATGAAAATATTAAGACAATAAAAACGTAACATAGGCTTACCGGCCCAAGATCCCATCGACTTCAGATCAACGCGAAGAAGGCGGACAAAAAGTAGACTTGACTACAACACGTAACCAAAGTAGGAATTTAAGGAACATTAAGCTAAGAACTACGGCTCCGAAAACTGCCAAAGGGTTCCTCGACGAGCCAAGATAAACTCTAAGTAATCATGACGCCAAGAGAATTATTACTGCTTGAGGATGCCAGTTGACGATCACAAATCAAGAAATCAAACACACGACAAACACAAAACGCACGTAGCCAACGTGTCGCAGCAGTGCTGCCACCTCTCGTTACACGCACCAGTATGAAATCCATGACACGCGCATAAGTAAGAATATTGTGTATTTCAACAAGATATACTGAATTTGGTTCTACTACATATAAATGATTTTTTCTAGATTTTTAACACACGCACGCATCGCAATTTACGATTCGACACACGTGTAACATACACTGCACGCACGCACGCACGCACGCACGCACACGCACGCACGCACGCACGTACGCACGGACGCACGCACGCACGCAGCACGCACGCCACGCACAGCACAGACAGCACGCACGCACACACACACAGGTTAGAAAGGCAAATAACATTATCTTGCAGTGTTTATGCTCTGTAAGCGTGATCACGATACACTCAAAGATCGTGTACACATATGCCTGTGCACACGCACGCACACACACAAGACAGGTCCTGCAGTGTGGGTGTGTGCTTGAGGCGGGGGGGGGGTTGAGGTCGCTGTTACTTCCATCACAAAGTTATACGAAAAATGTGTGGCGCATAGCTGTCACTTGACATTTGCTGTAAGAATACATTAGGAGGTCATATGAATAAGCATGAACAGAGATATATGATATAATGAATTCAGATATAATATAATATTACTATACATAGATTTTAATTACCCATTTTCTCCTGAAAGTAGGGAGGGGCGTGATTGTACACCCACCCTCAATAAGTTGCGCGGACAAATCACCCTTCCCCCCGCTATCTACACACCGCTGACAGCATGCAGTACGCGATGTACGCCACGGCGAACATATGAGTGTATGGCACGATGAACACGATGCCACGTACGCGTGCATAACAATTTCTGAAATTTTTTCAACAACTGTCATAAATTCTTTTATTTCCCACACAGTACCGGCCATGCTTGAACGGCAATGAAGGCCGCCGCAAAAGATCACGAAAAAGGTGTCAAAACGAAGAGGATCAAACGTGACACCCGACTACGAGCGTCTACACTTCCTCCGTGTGTATCAACACCAAAATCGCACATAGCAGTAATGTGACATTATACCTCACATAGACCTCATATATATCCATTAATTTATTTAAGATCCTATAAAACTTCTTATTTTGACCAAGCCTCATTATTTAACAACAACACTCCAATATATTTGAATGGCTGGCAATTTTGGCGTAAACTTGTTACGTGGTGAAAGTCATCTATTATGGCCGAATCGAGATCATCCTAGTATAGACTATATTGGACTTTTATCTGCAAGATCATTCGTTAGCCAGCAATTCTTCTCTATAATTAATCCATTGAGTTTCGAGAACAAGAGTCGGGTATATTCTTATTTGTATACGAATACCTTGGCAGCCAGTTTTTGAACAAGATTGCTTTTAAGTATATATATAATAGATATATATATAATGTACGTTAGATTACAAGTACTAGACCTTGCATAAAAGATTTATTTGCAGGATGGTTCGGCACTTACAATTCAACTCATATGTAACATCTTCACCAGAACTTCACTATAGTCAATATCAGGGTCTCCACTTCTATGCTGGTGCAGACCATAGACTACACCAAGCATTCTGAGTGGAGTTGTCTTATAAAATTTACGGGTCAAGGTGACATCTCTTTTGAAGTCAATATCCTATTCTGATAGACATAGAAGTATCTCTGAATTGTTTACAACTTAGAGAGCCTTACCAGCGAGCCAAGGTCGTATGGGGTGAATATGTGCACGGTTTCTGTTAAGTTCCTCAAAATTCCTATATTTCTCATATATTTTGAAGGATAGCTTCCTATATTTCTATATTTTTGTCCATCAAGTGGCTAGGAGGTATGTAAAATAAATATAATATAATATGAATATAAAATAAATAGGCCTAGGTAATAAACCACGCTAACTTTTAGCAGTTGGTCGATGCAAATTCATCCAGTATAGCAGAGATATAGACTATCGACATATACAAATATATACAGAGAGGGTAGATGAAGTGGGTGTTGTGCGTGCCGTGCGTACGTGTGGTTGTCTAAGCCGGATATCCAACTATAATCACGCTCAGACGTACGCGCACGCACGCCCACAGGCGCTACCCGTTATACGCACGCACGCCGCACTCGCACGCACAGACGACGCACGCACGCACGCACGCACAGGACGTACGCACGCCACTCAAACGCACGCCACAAACGTCGCGCACGACACGACACAGACTACGCACGTACGCACGCCACGCACGCACAGACGTGACGCACGGCACGCCGCACGCACAGAACGTACGCACGCACGCACAGACGTACGCACGGACGCACAAACGTACGCACGCACGCACAGACGTACGCACGCACGCACGCAAAGACGTACGCACGCACGCACGCACGCACGCACCGACGTACGCACAGTCGTACGCGCGCACGCACGCACGCACAGACGTACGCGCGCACGCACGCACAGACGTACGCACGCACGCACATACGTACGCACGCACGCACAGACGTACGCACGGACGCACAAACGTACGCACGCACGCACAGACGTACGCACGCACGCACAGACGTACGCGCGCACGAACGCACGCACAGACGTGCGCACGCACGCACAGACGTATACGCACGCACAGACGCACACAGGCACAGACGTACGTACGCACACAGGCACAGACGTACGCACGCACGCAGGCACAGACGTACGCACGCACAGACGCACAGACGTACGCACGCACGCACAGACGTACGCACGCACGCACGCACGCACATACGTACGCACGCATGCACAGACGTACGCACGCACGCACGCACAGACGTACGCACGCACGCACGCACAGACGTACGCACGCACACACAGACGTACGCACGTACGCACGCAGACAGACGTACGGACGCACGCACGCACAGACGTACGCACGCACAGACGTACGCACGCACGCACAGATGTACGCACGCACGCACGCACAGACGTACGCACGCACGCACGCACGCACGCACGCACAGACGTACGCACGCATAGACGTACTCACGCACGCACAGACGTACGCGCGCACGCACGCACAGACGCACGCACGCACGCACAGACGCACGCACGAACGCACAGACGTACGTACGCACGCACGCACAGACTTACGCACGCACGCACAAATGTACGCACGCACGCACGCACAGTCGTACGCGCGCACGCATGTACATACGTACTCACGCACGTACATACGTACGTCGTATTAACCACTTCAACATATATTAGCCCCGAATTAACAAAGAAAAACTTATGGATTTAATCACGCACGCACGCACGCACGCACGCACGCACGCACGCACGTTTACATACACACGCACGCACGCACGTTTACATACACACGCACGCATGCATAATAAATCGGTAATAATCGGTATCGGGTGTTGTCGTGTAGACGCTACATAATCGCTAACTCGAGTTAACGCTTAACTCGAGTTAAGGTTCGTCGTGTAGACGAGGCTATAATCATAATATATACATTCACAGCCTATTTTTCATTACGTTTATCGACACCAATGTGCGCCAGTGTCATTTTAGTTAAATAGGCATGCAATTATTCTTGTTTTCATTCATTCGATATTACCTCGTAGTACCAATATTTCGTCTAATTGAATTAAAATATTATATTAATTTGTAATGCTTATGATGTCCACATTCTTATCTTGGCTGTTCCTATTAAGTATTATTATTTATTTATATATTTATTTACGTTTATCGACGTTCGGCGGCGCTAGTGTGTCATTTTCTGATTTTAGCTAATTTTGCATATGCACGTTTTTTATCATTCATTGATATTACCTTTTTGAAACCATACTTTATCTTGTACGATGATATCATAGGAATAATTTTATAATCTAATTGCGCCATATATATATATATGATTCCTATATGTAATCTAACTTTATGATAATGTATATATTCGCAACTTATTTTTCATTACATTAATCGACACTCAGGGCGCTAGTGTGTAATTTTGTTAATTTGTCATCTAATTGCATGTACTACTAGAATACCATAGCAATAATTTTATAATGCAATGCTTATGTCTCATTTTTATCTTGCATATTTTTATCTTATCATGGCTATATTCCTGTTACGTATTATTATTCTATATCATTTCCGCAGTCATATCCGGCTGCTTTTCATAATCGCACCATATATCGTGTATGTAATGTAACGTTATGATAATGTATATATTCGCAACATATTTTTCATTGCGTTTATCGGCACACGGGGGAGCTAGCGAGTTAATATCATACATACTGTAGTAATCATTTTGTAATGCAATGTTTATGTCTGCATTCTCATCTTGGCTATTTCTGTTACGTAGGCCTATTATTATTCCATATCATTTCCACAGTCATATCGGGTTGCTTTTCTCCAATTGCGCCATATATCCTATATGTAATGTAACATTATGATAATGTATATATTTGCATTCTTTTTCAATACGTTTATCGACGCTCAGCTGCTCTAGTGTGTCATTTTTGTTAATTTGTCATCTAATTGTACTGTACTAGAATATCATAGTAATCAATTTATAATGCAATGGTTATGTCTGCATTCTCATCTTGGCTATTCCTATTACGTATTATTGTTTTATTTCCACAATCATATCCGGCTGATTTTTCCTAATTGCGCCATATATCGTGTGTGTAATCATGTGTGTGTTGGTACATCTATGGTGTAATCAGGAGTCTATCAATAGATTATGCAATCTATTGATAGACTCCTGGTGTTATGTAACTTTATGATGATTATACTCGCAACTCTTTTCAATGCATTAATGGACGCTAGGGGGCGCAACTGTCATATCTTACGTTTACCTCATTTACTTCCATCACTTTGGCCAAGCCTGCAGCAGACGGATACTCTAGTTGATTTGACTACGTATAGACT